GTGGGACATGGTAGAGTTTAGGCCCTAAAATTATTGAGCTCAATATTGAGTCCGGAGGGCTGTAGGGTCCCCAAGTGGAAAATGAGGTGTTGTTCCTCAGCTTGCGTTGGGCTTCACTGGAACACTGCAGCAAGCCAGAGACAGAGATGTTGGCCAGGGAGCAGGGTGGTGTATTGAAGTGGCAGGCAACAGGTAGTTCAGGGTCTTTTTTGTGAGCAGAACGTAGATGTTCTGCAAAGCAGTCGCCAAGTCTACGCTTCGTTTCCCCAATGTAGAGGAGACCACATTGTGAGCAGCGAATGCAGTTGACCAGATTCTGGGAAGTGCAGATGAAGTGTTGCTTCACCTGGAAGGTATGTTGGGGCCCTTGGATAATGGGGAGGGAGGAGGTAAATGGGCAGGTGTTCCCAAAACCAGTCCAGCTCGTCCCTGCCTCCCTAACCTGTTCTTCCTCCCACCTATCCCCTCCTCCCACCTCAAGCCGCACCTCCATCTCCTACCGACCAACCTCATCCCGCCCCCTTGACCTGTCCGTCCTCCCTGGACTGACCTATCCCCTTCCTAACTCCCTACCTACACTCACCTTTCCTGGCTCCATCCCCGCCTCTTCGACCTGTTTGTTTCCTCTCCACCTATCCTCTCCTCTATCCCTCTTCTATCCGCCTCCCACTCTCTCCCTATTTATTTCAAAACCCCCTTCCCCTCCCCCTTTTCTGATGAAGGGTCTAGGCCCGAAACGTCAGCCTCTCTACTCCTATGATGCTGCTTGGCCTGCTGTGTTCATCCAGCCCTGCACCTTGTTGTCTCAGGTGTTGCACCTTCGCTGGTTACAGGGGAAGGTGCCGTAGGGCTGTGGGGAGGTGTTGGGGGTGAAGGAAGTGTGGACCAGGGTGTCCCGGAGGGAACGGTCCCTGCGAAAGGCGGACGAGGAAGGGTAGGGGAATATGTGTCTGGTGGTGGCATCTTGCTGGAGGTGGCGGAAATGGCATCTGATGATCAACTTTGTTTTTGTTGCTGGAAAACCTTGCAGACTTATGTATGATATTAGAATGCACTCCCACTGTGCTTCTTGGAAGCTTCAGTTTAACCAGGACAGCGCAGCGACACAGTGGTTAACTTTGCTGCCTCACAGCGACACAGTGGTTAACGCTGCTGCCTCACAGTGAC